TTCAAGTGATTCTCCTGCCTCAGACTACCGGTAGCTGGGACTACAGGTGCGCACCACCACACTCCGCTACTTTCTTATTTTGTATTTTAGTAGAGGCGGGGTTTCACCATGTTGGCCAGGATGGTCTAGATCTCCTGACTTCGTGATCTGCCCGCCTCGGCTTCCCAAAGTGCTGGGATTACAGGCATGAGCCATCATGCCAGTCCAAGACTGTATTTTTAATTGCATTTCTGTGCACCACAACAAATGGTTAGAAAACGTAATATTTTTAAAAAGAAAAAGACACACTTGACATAGAAATAAAAACCATAGAGTGCCCAGAAAAGCCAAACCCTAGGGTTGCATATGTACACATACACACTCCTCACCCCGTAAATGAAAATTTTAAAAATTTGAGCTACCCTTAGCTTCAGATTATCACAAATTAAATAATTAAAACCAGCACAGTGATTTATTTTCTAGATTTTATAACATTAAAATAGATAAATTACTTATATCCATAAAATTTTCATCTCTCAATAATGCACTTCCTGGTGATATATACGGTATTCTCCCAAACGTGTCAGATGTATCAGTGCTATGGTAGCCTCATGTAATAAATTGACAATTATGTATGCTTTTTGATGACCTGATGCTCCAGCATAGGATAGTTATAGGTACAGATTAACCACCAGATTAACACAACGCGATAGACTTTAATCCAATTCTACGTTTACCGAGTTTGGTAAAAGAATGCAGGGCGGGAAATGCAGCATAACAAGCATCTTCATCTCATCAGGAAGCTCAGCAGCCACGCCAATCCATAGCTTGTTTTGCTTCCCCATACTGGTTGTGTATGGCTGCCAAAGATGAGCACCAAGGACTACATGAGTTCCCTTCACGCAGAGAAGCCACAGCCTCAGGTTCCCTCCAAGACTTGCTTGTCAACTCATTTGTCTCATTAAGGTGCAAGCCCATAGATCTGGAGTTTCACAGAACACAAGGCATTCAAAACATTCCACATTTATCTTAAGTCTGTAGCTTCCAAAAAACAAACAATATTGTCAGAAGTTGGACTACAAGGATTTTTTCAAGGCCCTGTTGCTAACCTTTTGTAAGCTAAGTACAGGCCTGTTGTTTTCCCTTTGTTCAGACATGTAATCGTTGACCTCGTATTGTACATTATCCATTTTGAGAAGAATGACAGAACTTCACAGGGAAAATCATTTTGAGCTTATGACTTCCTAGGGACTAGACGGTCCAAGGAGATAAATGGTAATATGAAGAGATCAAGGATTAATTGTCTGTAACTTTTTCAGTTCTTCTAAAAGTAATGCTCTATTTAGATTTGTTAATTCTTCAATCTATTTGAGTAACTTCTGTTTTCCTAGGGAATTATGCATGACATCTGGATTTTCCAGTCTATTGGCATAAAGTTAAACAGCATATTCTCACGATTAATGTCTGTTTATGAGAAGGATATGTTCATATCTCTTTATGATAATGGATTTATCTACTCTTTTGAGTAGATAAATTATTACTTTTGACATGTGTGCATGTGTGTGTCTGTGTAAATTTATTTTTGAATCCTTCTTAATTGATGACTTTTGTCAATCTGATGAAGCGTCCCTCTGCGTTCCCGTTAATACTTCTTACCTTGTATGTAACTATGTTTGGTATTAATATTTTGGGGTAGTCTTTCTTTATGTAAGAATTTATTGGTATAACTTTCCCAATCATTTTACATGTCAGCTAGGTATTATAGTTCACTAGGTTAGTGGAAAATTGACTACTTGGGTTAAACTGAGAAAAGGATTACTTTTCTCTTATAGCAAGAAATCCGGACTTGGGCAGTGCCTCAGAGATAGTACAGCCACTCATAAAAGTTACAAAGGCATAGGCTTCTGTCTTCTTAGTCTGCCATCTGCCACACTTTTATCTTTCTGCATTATTTCATTTGTGTGTACATCTCTTTTAAACAACACTTTGAAGTCAGCCCAGTGGGCCGTGCCTGTAATCCCAGCATTTCAGGAGTCCACGGCAGGAGGCTTGCTTGAGGACGGAAATTTGAAACCAGCCTGGGCAACATGGCAAAACCCCGTCTCTACAAACGATACAAAAATTAGCTGGGTCTGGTGGCGCACACCTGTGGTCTCAGCTACTTGGGAGTCTGAGCTGGGAGCATTGCTCAAGCCCAAGATTTTGAGGCACCTGTGAGCCATGCACTCCAGCCTGGGGGACAGAGCAAGACCTTGTCAAAAATAAATAAATAAGCAGCACCTTGCATTTTATTAGTTACTCTGAGAGCCTATGTCTTTTAAAGGATTTTAATAATAATTAAAATTAGGCAGGGCGTGGCGGCTCACACGTGTAATCCCAGCACTTTGGAAGGCAGAGGCAGGAGGATCACTAAGTCAGGAGTTTGAGACCAGGCAGACCAACATGGTGAAACCTCGTTTCCACTAAAAATACAAAAATTAGCTGGGCGTGGTGGTACACGCCTGTAATTCCAGCTACTCAGAAGGCTGAGGCAGGAGAATTGCGTGAACCCAGGAGGCGGAGGTTGCAGTGCCAAAATGGCACCACTGCACTCCAGCTTGGCGATAGAGCAAGACTCCGTCTCAAAAAAATAAATAAAGTTAAGTATTTTCAATGTTAAAGAATTTAATCCATTAACTTTTACTTTTGTTGATAATGCGTTTGGCCTTATTCTTGCCATTTAATTTTATAAACATATTTCTATATAGTGTTAATCTATTTCATTTTGTTAGACTGAATATTCTAAATTCATTCTGAGTGTGTGATTTTTTAAACATTATACATTCTATTTATATTCTTGTAGAGGTTATATTTACCCTTTTTTTCTTTATTTATTTTTTTTTTCTTGAGATAGAGTTTTGCTTTTGTTGCCCAGACTGGAGTGCAGTGGCACAACCTTGGCTCACCGCAACCTCTGCCTCCCGGCTTTAAGTGATTCTGCTGCCTCAGTCTCTCGAGTAGCTGGGATTACAGGCGTGTGCCACCACACCCGGCTAATTTTGTATTTTCAGTAGAGACAGGATTTCCCCATGTTGGTCAGGCTGCTGATCACCGCAGGTGATCCAACCACTTCAGCCTCCCAAAGTGCACAGGTGTGAGCCACCAGGCCGGGACTACTTACCCTTTTAAATAACATGTTGAAATATTTTTATCTCGTATCTGGAGTTAATAAGTATCAATATTATTTCACAAAAAATATTTTTAAATTTAACATAATTTAATTTACCCCGAGCAAATCCCTACTTCTCATTTTGAAATTGTCTAGAACGATTGTTTCTCATTGTAAAGCAATAGTTTTCAATCACAAATAAGTAGCACACTTACATTTAACTGTAAATTGTACTGCTTTTTTTCTTGACCTTTTAATTTACATCCAATGTTGTCTTCTCTAATTTTTTTAATGCAACTGGAATACATTGTGAGTAAATCTTTCAGAAAGTACCTATATGTGATAAACTTTCTGAATAATTTCACGCTTAATATTTATTTTGTTCTCTCATTTGAAAACTGATTGAGCTGCATACATGTCTATGTTCCCTCGGTGTAGGTTACTTGTAAGTATTCTGCTTCTTATTTGACATGCAGTCTCATTAAAAAGATCTGAGCAGAGGAAAGACATGATCTGACTTAAGAATTGCAAGGATCACCCTAGTTGCTGTGCTGAAAATCGACTTTGGGTGTCCAAGGTAGGGGCAGGGAAACCAGTTGGAGGTTATTGCAGAAATCCTAGCAAGAGATGGTAATGGCTTAGACCAGGGAAATATCAGTAAAGTAGGTGAGAAGTCACTAGATTTTTTAATATATTATAAATATATGTTTTTAAAAATTATTTTTAGATGATTTAAAAAATAATTTAGATTTTGCGAAATATTAGAAAAAGAGTATAAGAAAATAAGAGTAATCAAGGAGAACATCGGGATATTGACCTGCTTAACAGGCAGTATAGACTTGCCATCAGCTAAAATGCCAGAGAATTTGGATGCTGCAGGTTGGAGTAGATCCGGGGTTCATTTGGGGACATGCTGAGTTCGAGAGATCCATTACCTTCTAAATGAAGATGTTGAGTACCCACATAATTCATTGTTTACATTTGTAGTTTATTTCTCCAAAAAGGATGAAAAACCAAAGAAAACTATTAAGCAACCTGAGTGTATAATCCATCTAGCTTTATTTTTTCAAAACTTTAAGTCTCACTTTCACATAATTTGACAATAACTAATTTTTATTGTCAAATCTAAATTTCGCAACTAATTTCCTCAGAAACAACTCTCTTTGGACATTCATCTAAGTGTGTATAACATTTAATTTGAATAATTACACTAGTCGGTATAAGTGATGTGAATGAATTTGGGAACAAGCATGACTGACTCTTGGTAAGCAACAGATTGCTGATGGAATCATAAACATACAAGCAGTTAGAGAATAGTGTCTAAGCTGTGCATATTCATAAGGTTTCATTGCTAAGCTAGAGTGAGTTTCATTGCTAAGCTAGAGTGATTTAGTTAATCCAGTGATCATTCACTAGTGATCAATTTTAAAATTTTCTACTGTGGTATAAAATTTCCCAAAAGAGAGATTGAATCATATTATTCTCCAACTAACAGTGGTGAAAGTGATCATCTCTTCAAACTGTCATCAACCCTTGGTATTATTGAACCTGTTAATCCTTCGCTTTGGTGGAAAGATCTCATTTCTTTTTTTTTTTTTTTTTTCCTTAAACCCAAAGCCTAGTGAGTCAAATGAAAGATCTCATTTTTAAATTTACATGTCTTTAACTCTGGATGAAGGGCATTTTTCATATGCTCCCTGGATATTTGTATTTTATACAAAATACATCTAGGATATATTCAAACTCATTATATTTGTGACATGAGCAGCTTAGGATCAGTTCATTTTTGAAGAGTTTATTTGCACAAACAATATGTTTAGTATTTATTGACTTTAATAATAACTCAATTTTCATCTGCTCTTGTTTTGTTTAGGAATTATTTAGAACTTGTTGCAAAATCTATTCAAGATTGGATCACAAAAGAAGAAGCTATATATCAGGAAGCTAAAATGAATGAGGAAATTATTAGGACCAGGACTCAGCTGGAACTGAAATCTTCTGCTAGTACCAAAATGGCTTCTGCTAGCAAAATTTTTTCCCTTAAAAAATCTAAAAGTAAGTAACCAGTTCAACTTATACCTAGAATAAAATTTGAGTACATTTGTCTATCTCTCAATTTAATCAAGACTGTGAATATTTCAACATTAAAAATAATTACCAAAAAAATTTCCTCTTACTCTTCACTTTCTCTAGTAAATAGAGTAGCTGCATTCCAAATATGGGATTGTACCTGAGTGCAATGATAGAATATTTGTTTATATTGTCCCCATTTCCTGTCAAATCTGGAATATTCCATTAATTGTGCAGATCAAATATTACATGTTAGAGAAATTTCAAATGCCTTTTTTGGTAGGGTTGGTAAATTAAGCTATCTAAGATTTGTTAACAATATAGGAGGTAAATTTGGAGTTAGTAGATATCTATCTGAATAATTATAGGTTCCAAAAGTGAGATTAGAACAGTATCTTTCTTAGAACAGCAAACAGAAGGGTCCCAACACTAACTGGGAGTAGGAATCTAAAAGTAATGGGGAAAGAGATTTTTGGGGGCCTGTGGCAGGGATGTGAAAAGATATTTGATCAATAGATAGCTTTGTTGTTGATGATGTTGTGGTGGTTGTAGTATTGTGGCCTTGAGGCTGTGGAGGGGAGGGGAAGATGGTGACAAAGGGAGTAAAATAGGCACTTAGGAAGATACTTGGTCAAGGAAAAGAAGTGAAACAATGAGGCAATTCATCTAGAAAATAATAATATTTCATTAAGCTTGTCCAAAGGCAATGGACTGCTTGTTAATAATTTTCATTATTTATGGTAGCCAAAGTAAGAAGGATTTCTTGTAAAGAAAAAAGATTTGACAAAATGCTAACAAGAATGGACAAAATAGAAAGGAATATAAGTGAATTGATGGAGCTGAAAAACGCAACA